TCAATATTTGCAGATAACGAATATTCTGTTGTCTGATCATGAATGATGATCGAATTCCATTCATCAAATTTCAATGTGATTACTAGTTTAAAAGACCCCAGAGTTCTGTTCAACCTTTAGAAAACAGTAACATAATTATCTTCAACTGAATTTTAGGTTTAACAGTAATAAACTAAGAAACGATGACACAGGGTTATACTGAATCAAATCCTACAAACAACATTTTCTCTTTCAATAATGTAAATATCTCTTATTGGCTATTATCAACTATTACAAAACTTAAGTTGATATCTTGCCTTCAACCATCTAAAATAAAACAGTCTCATGAAGTATGAAAATATTCATACTTTCTTATTCATTATAAATAATGTTTTGGAAATTTTCTTCTATCAAATTCATTTCATTATTATGATTACTATAATCTTGACACTGTCCATGTTGTTGTTGTTGTTCTCTTTGTTTATTATCAACAACAAAAATCTATAAAACCACTCGTCAGGAAATATTGACCAGAAGAACAAATTACAGTTGATGACATCATGACAAAGCCGTATTACGTAATAGAAAATTTTAGTAATCATTAGATGATATGTTGTTTGTTTGTTTTTCTTTGATAAGAATTTCAGTAAGAATGAGAATATGAAATAATGCAACTTTACACATATATATAAGCACAAATAAGCATTATCAGTTTTACTTTGCTTGACTGATTTATTTGAAGATATAAAATTATAAACTACTAAATGTAGAAGCTTGTCAAGATAAAGTTTAATTTATGAAAGTGATAAACAACACATATATTCACTGTCTCTTATTACATTACCATTGATTAAACAACATAATAAAACATAGAATACAGATGATCACAATAGGTTAAACTGTATTATCAGTAGAATTTATAACATGAAATTGAATGATAAGAAACCTGAGCTGCATTTAAATTAAACAAATCTGATGGAACAAAAAAGCACATTAAATTTACAAATGAACTGTACATCAGTATCTAACAAATAATATACTATTCCAAACAGCATCTGTTCACTTTAGATCATGTTTACATAGTAACTTTTAAACAGGACTATGAGTAATGGCCTAAAGGGTGTTTGTAGTTACATGTTTCGTTGTCAGGGTCAATGAGATTATTGCAATTGACGATTGGAGACATTAAGAGACATGACTCAGAGTCTGTCAAAACGTCCAATTACATTTGTTCTTTGTTTTGCCTTATACCCTATTTCTCAAATAATTTCATAACTTTTATTCTTCGAATTCACTCTTTCTCCTAAGATCATCTACTGCCACTGATACTACTACTCCAGTATAGCGAATGGAACTTCAATGAGTGAAAAAAAACCAGTCGATAATTCTTGGGTTTTTCTTAATCAATAATGATTCGTTCTTAAACTTTCAAATTCACTGTGGAATAAGAGCATAAATTTGTTGACTATTGATTACTAGTTTTACATAGTTTCTATGTATCTTATAAAGTAATAATTCTAGTCAGTTAGCTTACTTTTGGTTCATCTGGCAATCTCAATAGAAGTACAACGATAATATCCCTTCAGACTGTGTCTCTGAACTATGCAAAGATGATTCATGAAGCAAAAATTACTAATGTTCTTGAAGACAACCACAGTAATCCAAGTGAATAAAACCATTAGTTCTTCTTTAATAATTTTAAAACAAATACAGACTGTTGTAATATTGATTTAGCTTATCTTTCATATTGCACAATCCATTTAACTAGTAGGAAGAATCAGAAAAAAATTGGATCATATTTGGTGGGTAACCTACACAAAACAATACGTCTGTACTTTTCAAAAGTATTAATTACAAAAATTTCAATAATACACACATACTATAATAAATATATTTTTTATTATATCCTAGTGAGTAGAAAATTGCATTTCTAATGTTTCGTGGCTTACTGTAAGCCACTTCTTCAGAGTCAGTAAATAACTGATCGAAAACATTGGAAATATGATTTTCTATCCATTGAGATATGACAAAAAATATACTTATGATTAACTTTCTTTCCAATACTCAATTTATATGAAACTAACAAGTCCGACCTTGGTATTGACACCTACTAGCAAGTTATAAATCAGTCCAAGTTAGTTGACTTGGGAAATGTTAATTCATAGGTTTAAAGCTGCCTAATAAATATCTGACAGTACGTTGCCCAATTATAAATCGAAAATCAATTTTCTGTCAATGGATATGAGATCAGTGGGAATTCTAAGGAAGAAAATAACATCTAGCCACTTTAAATAGATGTAAGCCAATTAATAGACAGTACCAATCCTAGTAGAACATTTTCTCTTAATCATAAGAAAAAACATCACCCATAGAAAACAAACCAAGAGATTTCTATAAGTCAGACTACTGTTTATAACGTGATTTTTATAAACTTCGATTTCATATGTATATGACACATGACAGTGTAAATGTGAAATTTTATTAAGTCCAGTATGACCAGTACATAAGTTGTAGAATATTGAATTTGTGATGAAAATACCAAACATTCTAATTTATTCTTGCAATGGCTACCTAGTTTAATTTGGTGTACATTAAAATGATGTACCATGGAAAAATGTAGGATTTATGTCATCGAATTCAATGATAATTCCAGTTGGTTTAATTGTTTTTGTGAATAACTTCAATTGAAACTATCTATCATGCGCTGTCAAAGATTTTAATTGAAAAGAAATTAATTGTAAAACACCTGTGCAATATTTAATGTAAAAATCATCAGAATGAAAATCATCATTACATATAATACAAAACCACAGCATCTAATGTGTAAGCTTATTCCAGTTGGGAATATACTCTATTAAATTTTTACATTATTAATTTGATTTCATCAACAATCTTTTATTCATATGCTCTTATTTTAAAAGATGAATTTATCTCAAACTTGATTATTCCATTATATTAATAATCTGAATTTACAGCTTTAGAACTTGGCAAGAAGTTCATAAAGAGAGAAATATATGCGTATATATTCTTTGTTCCACCAACCCAATCACATTTGATCGCGAAACTCTGGAAGATGTATAATGCTTCACGAACCTGGGAAGCATCATCGATGAACAAGGAGGATCAAATGCAGACGTAAAGGCAAGGATGGGCAAAGCAAGGGCCGCATTCCTACAATTAAATAGCATATGGAACTCAAAACAACTGTCTGTCAACCAATATCAAAGTGAGAATCTTCAATACCAACATCAAGGCAGTTCTACTGTACTAAACTGAAACTTGGAGAACTATTACAACAATCATCAAGAAGGTACAAGTATTTATAAATAGCTGTATACGCAAGATACTCAACATCTAATGACCGGATACCATCAACAACAGCTCTCAGCTTCCAGCTGAAGAGAAAATTAGGAAAAGACGCCTCAAGTGGATAGGAATATACATTGTGGAAATCATCAAACTGCATCACGAGGCAAGCTCTAACTTGGAATCCTGAAAGGAAGCGGAAAGAGGAAGGCCAAAGAACATATTACGTCGGGAAATAAAAGCAGATATGAAAAGGATGAATAACAACTGAAAAGAGCTGAAAAGGATTGCCTAGGACAGGGTTGAATAAAGAATGCTGATGGGTAGCCTATGCTCCTTCACGAGGAGTAACAGGCGTAAGTTGAGAAGTAAAGTAAAGTATTCTTTGTTCATATACATCTGTTTCATAAACAAACAAACCAAAACAACTAAAACAAACAAACAAAAAACAAGCAAATATTGATGTATTAATAAAGTAAAAGTAATCAGTCATTCATTAATTTAGTTATTTCTTATTTACATACAAAATGAAACTATAAAAATTTATTATTTTCAATATTCTCATTAAAAAAATAATAAAAATTTATTATTATTATTATTATTATTATTATAGATAATTTATATCCCTACACTAAAGAGTTCATCATTGTATAAACCAGTAATAAAAAGGTCGACTAAGCAATAATTCAAATTTACTTGAATTTTAATCTCTAACATTAAAGTCTGGATTGATTTAACTGATAGGATGTAGATTTGATATTTATGCGCCTTTATTTATTTAATTATTGAAGGCCATATATATATGAGAGCTTACAACAACAACAAAAAAAAGAAAGAAACATTTAGTAGGATATTTGACAATAGATTGAAGCACAAAAATACGAATATAATCTGAACATGAATTATGCTGATTTCACACAAATACACATACACACACATTTACATATATATGTATATATATATATATACATATATTGACATAGAATTAGAAAGAGAGTGAACATTGACCAATCCAATTAGAGTTAGTTACTGAATAGCGTTAAACACACTTACTAGGAGGTCACAATTTACAACCACCCTTTAGTTAGATTGAATCATACATGTAAACAATATATCATAGACATGTATATATGTATTTTGTTGAACAAGAAGATACACGAACAGGCTAACATTTATCATTGTTTATAACATTAAAATTTTTGTTACATTCATTTATATACCCTTTGTCAGTGAATTATGATTTATGAGCTTTTATTAAAACTTAATATAAACGATAGGAAATTCTGTTAGCATTCAAAACTCAAGTCAGACTATTAGTTAATTTTTTTTTCTTTCTCGTTTTCTCTCACTTCTATTTTATTTAACATTGTACATATTTAGAAAAAGATTGCGGTAACTTTGAGCGGTTTATTTACATTCAAAACAGAAAAAGAAAAATCAATATTCTTGGATTATAACAAATAAAAAGAAATAACTTGAACACCTAAAAAAAAAAAGAAAAGATCAATCCAGTGAAATGATAAATTTGTACAATGAATACCAGCCTTATTATTGCATATTATTAAAATTAAACTAGTTTTTAGTTAAAGCACAAACCATAACTATAACTGTGGATATGTTTTATTTAATGATTATATTTATTACTTGTGAATGATACATATAAGAATGTCTGTTTGGTTAAATATTCTACTATTTCTATGTTTGTTTACTCTTAGTTCACAACTGAGGGAATTACTTATCACAGATATACCAGATGATAATCTTCAATCAAACAGTTTATTACAATCTTCAGAGAATAATAATGTTAAACAGAAACATGATTCTATTGATGGTGATTCAACATTAGTAAATAGATTAGATAAAAATAATCACAATACTGAAGTATATCATCGTCAGACAAATTCTGACTTACGTTTTGTAGAAGCATCAAAATCACAAAGTTTAAATTATCCACAAACAAACAGAAATTATATGAATCCAGATTTAAACACAGATAATTATAATCATGAACGATTAAATCAAACTCAGTTAAAACAAACAATTCAAGATATGAACAATAATAATGACAATATGATGACAACAGAAACATTTGTCGGTCCCGATGGAAAATTACAAATGAGTATATGTGATCATCCGAATGGATTTTTACGAAGACAAAAAAAATTATGCCGTCAGTATTTGCATTTAATGGAAAGTGTGATACGTGGTTATTTTATGGGTTTAAAAGAATGTGAATATCAGTTTTCTGCACACCGATGGAATTGTCAAGGTCATAATTTAACTATTCGAACAGCACCGAATAATCGAATACAGAAACGTCTAAGATATAGAGAATCTGAACCGAAGAATGATTTGGATAATTCACAAAGAAAATCTATACGCATACAAACATACTTAGATAAACTATTATCAAAAGGTAATGTCAGTTATATCAACCTTTTCTTATAAGCAAATGTTGTTTGGATATGTTGAAATATAAGTCGACGTAATAATATTCTATCTTGTGAATCAGTGACGAAATCGTGTAGGTACTTGATTCTCAACTACTGGTTTATAAGTTCAATTCCTCTGCATTACGATTTGTAGGTCATTGCCTTATAAATATTTCTGTATTTGGCTTTTATATTTGACTCATTTGAACAAATAACCCGATGTTATTCCTCATTATGAGTGTGAGTAGATTTTTGTCCAACTGGTGACATTAATTACGATTACTAGTAAAGATGGTAATCAGCATTATAAAATTACTTAATCTAACGACTTCTTATTTTGTTAAAATTCTGTCTGAAATGAGTTACTGTGGATCTTTGAAAGCACAGATATTGGATTTTACATAAATGTTTATCAGCTTGTTATTTCTTCATGTTTTCAGTTCATTTTAACTGCAATTTTCATAAATTTCTCTTACTAGATAATATATATATAATGGGTGAAAGCGTAATACTCCTAGGATTTTGCGATGACAGAGATGATTTGCAGCTCGAGTAGAGAATTTTCTTGATGTTGCATTTTCTGAATGGAACTGTTTAATCATCAAGATCTCATTATCTCTCTAGATAACTTCATCTATCTAAACTTCGGATAGTAGTGAGCTATTTACAATTATTCTTAAGTGAATTACAGTTTGTTATGTCGATATCACAGATCAGAAAGAATACTGTAGGTTTGACTCCTTTTTGAAAAAGAAAACCGTAAATTCACAAGTCCAACAGATTTGTATACAGACAGAAAAAAATATTCAACCATTATTTGCTCCAAGTCATTGGTTTACTCCTATTTTGTGATCGTGTAAATCCAATGAAGTTAGATAAAATTTCACACCTAACTAAAGTGAGAGGTCCTATTATGGCAGTTTTATCTATAGAGAAATATATTTCATGAATACTAACAAGATTATAGTCAATATTAATCAGTCCATTTTGTCTCAAGTCTTCAGTTTTCATGCAGATCTTAATCATAGTTTCCGAACAAATTGTGCCGGTGATAATAATTTTTGCTATAAACTGATACCAGCTAACAAAGCGATGGTAGCCAGGGAGGACCAGATGGCTATTTTTTCTAGATAGGAGCTTCTTGTCAATGCACAAAGGTGAATCTATTTAGAATGGACCCTATAAACATTAGGTTGCAACAAGAACATGATACTTTTAGGCCAGTGAGTCGTCATGTAATGATCAGGTCTACAACTTCAATTTGTTCGCAAAATGAAATAACGATTATTGGTTTATGAAATCTCTGTGAAAAGTCAAAACAGATGAATTCAACCGAGCCACAAGTGAAACAGTTGTTTACCGAAAAATGGGATAAGAATCACATTTTATAAGAAACTATTCAAAGTTGAAAATCAATGTCGCTAGATATCGATTCGATGGTTCAAGGATGTTTTTAGGACTTCAATCTCATATGGGGTTATCCCTAAGTAAAACTAAATAATCAGGGATCTATGTCTTCCGCTGCTTCTGCACTTGGCAAAAACTTTCATGATAATTAATTAAGTTTAATAAATTGCATTACTTAACATTAGTTAATCTACGTTCAGTAGTGTAATATTATTTTTGCGATTTAAGTGAAATGATTAATTGAAAGTTATTCTTGAAATTGTACGTTTTCTAATTTAATACAAATAATCCAAACACTGACTGAGAGTTTCGTTTTCTTTAGAATAGAAATTAAGATCAATGTTTAGCTTCAAGTGTCTAAAATATCTTCATCCCAGATAAATGCTTACCTAACTAGTTATCATTATTGATGTGCGTGATTTATAACTACTTAAAACCACTACCAACTATATGAAATTATATGTACTATATATTATTTGAAATCTTTACGAACAAAAATTAACTGTATTGAGTTTAGGCCTAAAATATAATCAAATTCACTGTAATTATTTTTCCAATGCCATATTGGAAGATAAATCAAATAATTCAACATAAAACTGTACAGGTGTTGAATATAAGTTTATTTACATCATAGCTAACAGTTTTTATCTCAAACAGAACAAAATGTTATCCACAGCTTGTTCTCAAGTACAATCAAGTTAGTGTTTCATTTGCATTAGTCAGTAGATAGTTTTTATCATGTACATTAACACAAATATCATTTCATAAATGATTCTGGATTTTAACGCAGAAAGACTGTGTCTTACGTTGATCATACATATAGATAAGTTAATATGATAAATATTATTTATCGAAAATCCGAAAATTATTCTAAATAAATATAAAATCTTATTGTTTACTCAATCAACGATGGAAGCTTATTGTTTGTTACCAATATGGAGTAGCAAATTTATTGTTTTTTTCAACAGTGGAGATCATTTCTTCTTTCTTCTCCTTCTCATCAATTTACACTATTTGGTAACTTAGTAATAACCAAAATCCTGTTGTCTAGTCCTTAGTGTCAATCGATTGTATCGATCGAATTGACATTAGTTTAATTAAATTAACACAATGGTACATTCTGCTAGTAGAAGAATCCATGATGTACGTTTCACCACATTTAGAATTCATCAGCTGAATACACCTGGATCTCAGTGATGATGTTTATACTGAGACTCAAAATCAGTAACTCGTAAAGTTAAACTACCTGATTTTCGACGTTGTGTATTGGAATTGGGTATGAATCTCTGTTTTTATATACCTCTGTTCCTGTATACCAATAAAGTACTGAGAGTATGTAATGATATTGGTAGATTTTATCTCATATTTTCCTATAAAAATAATTAAGTCAGATAGTTTATTATGATCGTGTTGTCTGAATGGATAGAACATTAAATTACTATAGTATTAAGGCAGATTAAAGGGACTTCGTAAAGAAAATAAACTTGCAAGATTCAAGAATGAAACGTGGAAGGAGTTATTTGCAGAATAATAGATGTTATCATGGCTTAATTTATCAAAACAGTTAAATTTTATAATTTATATCAGTACAATTAACAGTTTAAAGAGCGTCATATAGGGTACTTCTTAGCATCCGATTGGTACATTCATCAAGCTAAGGGAAAATACCAAAATATTTATGACATCCAGAACAATGCTCTGTTAGGTGGAAAACAGAAATAAGACACTTCACTCATTTTTGGATATGATATAATGGATATATAAAAATTTGTTTTCTGGAAAAAATAAGGTGAAATTAAACGAACACAGTTCATGTCTATTAAAATAATTAACATTTAGGGTTATTCTATTGGGATCTTTTAAAGTCCCATACATGTTGCAGTCTATCTCACGAGATAATAAATTTGCAGTTTATGGTAAATAACACAATACTGTTGACTTTTAATGACTGGATAGTTTGTATTATATGACTACAGAGTGAGAAAAAGAAGCGATTTAATAACATTATTAGTCGAAATTAGGTAAATATCTGCGTCAAATATATTAAGCACATCCTAGATCATATGTATTTTCTTTATGTAGGTTTACAGTGAAAAACTTTAGAATAATCTAAAAATGTCAAAAATAAGAGGGATAGTTTTTTTTATCACCATTAATAGTGGAAACTGAAGTAACCTAATAGATAGGTACCATTACTAACATTTAACCTGATAATTTCATATAAACTGAATATTTGGTGGATTATTTACAATAATAAATTAATAATCTATTTGTGATACCCCAATGTGTAAAATTTTAATTTTCTTCTCATTAGAGTAATGCAAATATATTATTATATGACCTAATAAAATTCACAAAGTACAGTATAATTACTGATTATGCAAAAGGTGTAATGAAATGGATTATCGTTAACCTACATACAGAGTATTCCCCTCACTCCCTATATAAGAACACGAACATTAGTAATTTCTTATTCTATTTATTCGTTTCAATCTTGAATATTTCCATCTCCTTGTTCACAGGCCAATTGATTTCAAGGAATGTATTATACATATATTATCTGGTAACCAAGTTATTATTGTATAAATGAATTTTATGATATTATCACTTTACAATACGATAATAATTAGGTACCAACTGAACAATGGAAAACTAAATAACATTTTTGAATAATTTAATAGTTTTCTTATAAATCGAGTAGTTTACTATTGAGTGTAATTACCTGAATCTTACCGGGTAGAAGTTTTAGATGACAAACTCTCAAATTAATATACTGGAAGATAAACAGTTCAGTTAATCTACTTCATTTACAGAAATACCAATACGATATACTCATTAGTAACTGCTTAACAAAAATACTGTATCACGAGTTATTCTATTTAAGATGACACGATATTGAATAATCATGCTACATAGTAATAAAATAATAATAGTTCAAGTTTACGGAAAGACTATAATCTATAGACGAACCAATCAGATATAAGATATCAGGTCTTGAATTTTGGCGCAAAATCCATCCATCCATTTGACTAAATAGCGTGTTTTGCAATTTAGCTGATGTCAATTGGTGATGGAAACTCTAGATCTAGTTCCTAACACTGACCATCAACTGTAAATCATAATTGTAATTACTCACACTACTTCTGCCTTAAAAGAAACTAGAGTTTAAAATATTCGAAAAATGACTTGAAATTATTTTTTGTGACATATGATTGTACTCGAAGCTCATCTAATTAGTTTCGCACCATGTTGTAAATGAAGTTATCTTTTATTACGGAAATTGCTTGTTCTTAGATACTTAACCATATAAAAATGCTATTTTTCTCTTCTGGTATTATTCCAACCATTTTTCTTTTTCCGCTGTATACAGGTGTAATAACGTTGTAAGGGACATGTTGATATCTAAATTAATTATGAATTACTCTCTTTTTCGTATATTAATAATTGAAGATTCTTAAACTAGAACAAACATTCAATGTAGAATAATTTTCCAACGAGTATCATTTTGAAAAGAGCAAGAACAAAGATTCAAAGCTAGAATCTTTGTTCTTGCTCTTTTCAAAATGATAAAGGGAAC